AGGAGGCCGGGGTGAACAGGGGCCCCAGCACGCCAACAGGCAGCTCCCGCAGCCGAGCAGCAGCAATGGGCCCCCAAGGCAGGTGCAGGATAGATGCACAGCCCAGGGCTCAGCACAGCTGGCTGGGACCCAGAATCCCACCCGAGTGCCATGGCAGCCCCATCCCCTGGCAGGGGGCGGATGCCTTCCAAAGGAGATCTGTCACCAGTGGACACCTTGTTCCTTCCTCCCTCCCCACCGGAGCAGTTGCAGCTCTGTCCCCCGAACTGCAGGCAAGGAGGCGTGACAGGCAGCGAGCGCCCAACACAACAGCTTGGGGTCAAGGTGCCCAAGACACTGAGCAGCCGCCTGGCTCAGGCTCCGACTGGCACTCGTTGACATCTGGGGAGCAGTGGGAGGAGAGGCACCGGCTCAGGACAGAGACCGGCAGCAGGGAACAGGGGGCTTGGAGAGGCACTGCCTCTCCCGCAGGGCACAGACCCTCCGCTTGCTACCCCAAGCCCACCAGCCAGGAACAGCCCTGCTCCTGAGGCTGTTGGCAGCCCGCTGCTCCACACCTGTCCCTGTGCAGGGGCTGAAGTAGGAGCTGGGCATGGGCACATGGGCACGGGGACACCTGGGGACAGCTGGAAGTGCAGGGCTGTGCCAAGAGGTCCCTCAGGGTGCCTGCAGCACGTCCCCTCCTCTAGCCCCCTTCAGGCATCCTGCCTTCTCCCACCACTGTCCTCTGCCAGGCCCTGGGGAGCCAGGCTGGAGCCGCCTGCCACAGAGTCCCACCAGCCCCGTGCTGCCCACCACCCCCTTCAACCAGCACCTGCACAGAACCACGACCACGTGCGTACAAAGGAGCAGGAGCACAGCATGGCCAAAAATGTGTGACCTCAAGCTGCTTTTTCCCCCTGCTCTTGGCCAATAGCTTTGGAGCCGTGCAGGGCACTTCCCAGCCAGATCCTTAGATCTGGGGCTTCTCTGCACAGGCTTAACATGTCAGAAGAAGCCACTGTCCCATCAGCAATGGAGATGCCCATGCAGCATCTATCAGTGGGGGGGCACAAGTAGTACACGTGCCCCCACAGCCCTGCCAGCCCTCTGCCCGACCAGCAGCAGCGTCTCCCCGATGGCACATGCCACGCCTGGCCAGGGGTGCCAGGAGAGGAGCCCTTGCCACAAGCTGATCTGAGCACTCAGGCAGGAGGCGAAACCAGCCCACACAACCACAGGCAGCCTGGCTCCTGGCCATGGGGTTCACACCCAGCATCATTGCCCAGGGGCTGGGGGGCAAGGGAGCATTTGCTATAGCCACCTGCAGCAGCCCCACAGCGTACCCGGCACGGTCTCTTACCCGACTCGCAGTGGTGGCCAGTGTAACCCGGCTCACAGAGGCACAGGAACTCAGCAATGCGGTCCTTGCATCTGCCACCATTCAGGCAGGGCTGGGACTGGCACTCGTCAATCTCTGCAGGCATTTGGGCAGGGGAGAGGCAAGGCAAGAGGTGTTAGCACCAAGCAGGGGTCCCCCGGGGCACTCTACCCATGGACACGGGCAGGGGATGACTGGAGTACACGTCTTGGGGTCACCCAGCCACGGTCGTGACCACAGCCCACTGGGACGCTGTCCCAGGGCTCAGCTGTTCCCTAGCACTCCTCACCATCACACTCGGGAGGGTCACTCCAGATGCCTGGCAAGCGGCAGACACGGGGGTGGTTGTGCTGGCTGAGGATGTAGCCCCGTTCACACTGGTATTCAGCCAGTGAGCCCACCTTGGTGGAGTTGAACAAGGCCTGGGCGTGCTTCACCTCGCTGGGGATGCCGCAGTCAACCTCTGGGGAGGGAGAGCGGCAGGGTGAGCAGGGCCTGCAGAGGCACCCTGAGCCCCTGGCTGGCAGGGGCAGTGAACGGCCCTTACCAGACTGGCAGTGCTTCCCCACGTAGCCCATGGGGCACGTGCAAGCGTAGCCCCCATCGAGGTCCTCGCAGGTAGCGCCATTCTCACAGGGGCTGAGGAAGCACGGGGAGGGCACTGGAAGAACAGTGGAGGAAAGAGCGACCGCTGTGGAGCTGGCAGAGCCCAGAAGCCAGAGCCATCCCCCTTCCCCCTCTGGCAGCGCTGCCCAGCTCTCTGGCAGGGCGCAAGGAGGAGCTGAAGCACCTCACATTACAGGGAAGGGTGTTCAAAGCCAGCAGCAAGGTGCCCTCGCTGTCACCCTGGCTGTTGGCTCCACTAGCAGGCCCAGCACCTCCCCAGACAGCCCCCAGCACAAGCGCACCCTGCTCACACCTACCGATCTCGCAGTGCCGGCCGGCGTAGCCCGGGGGACAGTCACACTTGTACTTGCCAATGTAGTGGAAGCAGGTGCCCCCGTTCTGGCAGGGCCCTGGGGCACAGGGGTCCGGCTTACCTGGGGGCAGAGGGCAGGCGGGAGCTGAGCAGCAAGCGGGATGACTGCCGCCTCTCCTCCCCGGGTGGGGACCGCTGCTGGCCACCGCCTGCCTCCAGCGCCCCACCAAAGCCCTTGCTGCAGGAAAGCTGAGCACACCCGGGCCTCGCAGCCCTGGGCTCAGCAACACTGTGAAACAACACCCACGCAGACACACGCCGGGGCCTCAGGGGGCCATGGGTGCACAATGCCAGGGGACTGGTGGCTGCTCCTGGGGCCAGAAGCTCAAGGCATGTAAAAAACCTCCAACACTGATGGTGTTGTGCAGGAAATACAACAACAGGATGGGCTGCTGTGACTGTCAGGGGCCATGAAGGGAGGCAGGCAATCCTCCCTCCACCCTACAGGACGGGATGGAATGGGATAGCTGGCACCCACTTCCAGCCGCAGCTCAGCAAGCAGCCGCTCACCTCCCCCAAGGGCCTAAGCTCTTTTCTCACCCCCCGCCAGGTCCTGGGGCTGGTGGGGAGCTCCGTGTGGGTACCTTTCTCGCAGTGCTTGCCAAGGAAGCCTTGAGGACACTCGCAGGTGTACGAGTCATCGTGAACCTCGCAGGACCCCCCATTCAGGCAGGGCTCTGAGTCGCAGGGGGATGGCATCGCTGCAAAGCCAAACACAGGCACCACTGAGGACACACAACCAGGGGTGTGAGGGCTGCTCCCTGGCTGTCGGCAGAATCCCTGCTCACCCCCTGTCCCACATCCCTTCCCGGGCTGGCTCTGCATCCCCGCAGGCAAGACTTACTATGGTTGGTGCCGTAGTCAGTGTGGCAGACACAGAGGTAGCTCCCGCCATACTCCATGCAGTACCCACCATCCGGGCACTGCGTGTTCATGTTGCACGGCGTGGTAGTGACTTCTGCAAACACAGGGCCAGCATCAGCCTCTGTTGGCCAGTGGCAGAACACCTGTCTGGCTGCCTGGCCAGAAATGTGGGTCTCCCAACTTTGCAAGGTCTGATGAGACGGGCATGGACCCTCTGTACCCCACACCACAGGCAGTGCAAACAGCAAGGGCCAGCCCAGATGACCAGCAAGCTTCGGAGCAGGAGCGCATGAAGGCTGCGGTTTCCTCCCCACCGGGGGAGCCAGGCTGGGGCCAGGGGCTGGGAGAGGCACAGCTCGGCGGGGGGGATGGAGGTGGAGGTGTTGCCCCCTCACCAGGGAACAGTATTTCCAGGCTGAGATTCAGTCCGTGTCCCTGGTACCACGCTAGGCACCGGCATGGGCAGTGTCCTTGTTTGCCCGCAGCCTGCCTGGCTCAAGCATCCTGGAGAGGAAGCAAACATAGCAAGTGAGGAGCCTTCACCTACCGAATTCACAGAGGAGACCAAAAAACCCAGGTGGGCACTGGCAGATGGTGACGTTCCCCTCCAGACAACTGCCCCCATTGCGACACTCGCAGCCCTCCGAGAGCTCTGCAAGAGAGGAGACAGGAGTGTTCTAGGACCCCTCCTGCTTGTGCGAGTGGGACAGGCAAGCAGCTGTGCTGGAGGCCAGCCAAGGGGGGAGGCTCCCAAAAAAGCCCCGCCAGACATCCAGGCACAGCCTCCTGCAGCCGGAAGGACCCAACTGACATTTGGTCCAGGAGCCCTGAAGGGGCTCTCCAGGGCTGCCGCTCCTCCCGCTCAGGAGCGAGGGCTCCCCTAGAGGTGCGGCACCCCACCAGAGACCTGCCCGTACTCACTGTCTCGACAGTCCTGCCCGGTGTAGCCCTCCTGGCACTCGCAGACGTAGCCCTGCTCTGTCTCCAGGCAGCTGCCCGCGTTCTGGCACGGGTGGGAGAGGCAAGCGCCGGGCAGGCGGGGGCCACCTGCAGGGAGGGGGAGGCTGAGCCAGAGGCACCCCAGCCGGAGGCTGGAACACCCTCCATCCCAGGGGAGCAGGGCACAGCTGGTCCAGCCCAGCTTCATGCCAGAGACCCCGCCACAGCCGAGCAGCCCCGGCAGCATGAGCTCCCTCCCGGCAGCACCACAGACCCTCTACGCATCCTGCTCGCCAGCCTTCCCGGTGCCTAGGGCTGACACAGTCCCTCCTTAGCCCCTTGCTGCCTGGCTTCCCCGAAACCAGCTCCAGTGCTGGGCTGGGCGAGGCGCACCTCCACTCACCATACTGGCAGTTGTTGCCGTAATAACCTGGGGAGCAGGTGCAGATGTAGCGGCCAGGGCGGATGTAGTTGCACGTCTGCCGATTCCGGCAGCTCCGGTCCTCACATGAAGATGAGTCTGGGGGGAGAAAGCAAGCGAGTGAGTGATGAACAGAGCCTGGTGCTACGACAGGGGCCACGACGGCCACTGGAGCACGGGGGATAGAGTTCCTCGTGTCGGTCATCCCAGGGCACAGGCAGCAGCAGGTACCTGTCTCGCAGCGCTGTCCCACGAAGGGCTCCAGGCACACACAGGTGTAGTTACCGACCTGGTCAACGCAATGCCCGCCGTTCAGGCACGGGCTGGACTCACACTCATCCACCTCTGCAAGGGGAGGCCGGGGGGGGCAGTCAGGCCATGCGCGGGCACCGCTGGCTCACCCACTGCCTCCCATCCTGGGTGGTGCTCAGGAGGGGGAAGGCAACAGCCAGGGGAAAAAAAAAACAAAAAACAAAAACAACAAAAAAACCAAACCAAACAAAAAAAAAAACCCCAAAGCCCCCAGAAAACCAAAAAACCCAAACGGTGCTGCTGGCAACGCCAAGTGCTCCCCTCCCAAACCTATGGCCAGGGTGAAGCAGAGTGGGAAGGCAGCTTGCCAAGGCATGAAGTGTCACCATCACCCCTGCACTGGCTCCTGTCACCCACCTGTCTGGCAGTCCGCCCCTGTGTACCCCAGCTGGCACAAGCACGTTGCTGTCTCGTTCGCTGCCTGGCACCTCCCACCGTTCTGGCACACCCTGCTCTCACACGGTGACTCTTCTGCAGCGGGACACCGAAAAAAAGAGGGGCGGGGTGTGTGTGTGTGTGTGAAATCAACCCAGGCACAGGACCAGCACGGAATCCTCTGCAGACACGGTTATGCCGGGGCCAGGCAGAGAGCACATCTCGGAGCCACCAACACACCCTCCAGCAGGAAACAGCTGCTGCATCCCCAGCCACGGCTCTTCCCAAAACCCTTCCTTGGGCAGCTCTTTCATCTCCCTGCACCTCTTGGACACCAGCGTGCTGCACTGGGCATTTCTCCCTCCCTCCCTTCCCCAAAAGTCAACTCCCTGCTCGCCTTCTCCACTGGCGTGGAGGCTCGCTGGGAGCCAAAGGCTTTGGCAGCACTTCCACCGGCGGGTGGAGGCCAGCAGTGGGGGACACCGGCCACCACAGCCTCTGCCAGGGACCAGGAGAGTCCCCACTGGTTTCAGAGGGCTTGGGGCCAGAGCATCCCCTGCAAAAGCAGGGCCTACGAGACTTCTGTTTAAGCACAGCCGCCCCTTTTCTCACTGAGGGAGCGGCAGTAGGGAGAGGTGCTGGCGGCAACACCAGGACGGGCCCTGGGCGGAGCAGGCTGCCAGCCGCAGGAAGAGCTCACGGCCAGAGCAAAGTTTCCTTTGCCGGCAACAAGCCGAAATCCAAGCCAGCGGTGCTGGGCACCCGTTGCAAGCCGCTCAAGCCCAGAGGCTGCCGCAGGAGCCCCGGGCGCGAAGAGC